ATCAAATCCTTTCGCCTTCTTAAAACCTGATAATCTCAAGCATTGATCCCTGAAAATCTCAGGCATTGATGAGAGGAAGTATGGGCCTTTGTTTCCCAACTTTCCATTTCAGAGCTGTGAATGCTGTCACATTTGCACTAAATGCATCCACAGACTTGACAATACCAAGTCTCCCCAAATACCAAGTCTTTAATAGTGATTTCTCATTTTTTAAAAAACAATATAAATGGCTTTCTGGGAGTATAATTATGATTATTTTATTTATTTTTACAAAACAGTAATCATGGTTTTCTATTAGCTACTTGAAACATGTAGGGTAATATCTGAGAATTTTTAGTACATCCCCTGTTTTTAAGAATTTAGAGGCAGATGAATTAAAAAATTTATAATTCACAAGTCTCCAAAGATACTGTTGGAGAAGAACACTTGATAAGCCCTAGGGAGGGTAGCCATCCAGATAGTTCCTGTAGATTGGCATTTCAAGAGAATCATCACAGTCTGAGGACACACAGAAAATCCAGTCCACAGGGGTAGTTTTCTTTTAGCCAAGCTACCAGAGCATACGTAAAACAAGCTAAAAAACTTACTGCCATTTTAAAAATGGTCTCTGATCAATGTAACTATTGTGGTCTAGACATTCATGTATCCATATCAACCCTACATATATACAAATCAATACCAGAAGATTTGTTCATTATATGGTTGCTTGGTAAACCTGGAATCCACAAAGCAATTGTATAGTTGTGGTGTCCCCAAGAAACCATTCCCACTGGGGGCCAGTGGACCAGAGTTCATATTTTTGTGCCAGGGTACTCTGTCCCCTCAACCCTGAATATTCATTGGAAGGACTGATGCTGAAGCTGAAGCTCCAATACTTTGGCCATCTGATGCGAAAAACTGACTCATTGGGAAAGACCCTGATGCTGGGAAAAATTGAGGGCAAGAGGAGAAGGGGGCAACAGAGGGTGAGATGGTTGGATGGCATCACTGACTCAATGGAGATGAGTTTGAGGAAACTCACAGAGATAGTGATGGACCGAGAAGCCTGGCATGCTGTAGTTCACAGGGTCGCAAAGAGTCAGACAGGATTTAGCAACTGAACAACAATGCTAGATCATCAAATTTTGTTATCCTGGATTCCTCTGTTATACATGGCAAGCGGATCAACTTCCACCCATTAATACATTTCTTTCTCTAGACAATTCAGTGTAAGCACTTACTTAGTCAGGTATGTAGCAATGAAAATGCAGTCATGGATTTTCAGAAAATCCTCTCTGAAGTTCCACCCAAATCTCTGAATTTTGGGTGTTTACAATCATGCAGGTTATTTCTATAGACTACTGATTGCATCCCATACATTTAACTTTTTTTCAAATTTCAATTTTAAAAGGTACATTAAGTGTATTTATAGTAATTGTGGGTACTAAACATGAATTTTTCACATACTCTTTGCAGGTTATTTATCATTGTTTCCGATGACTGACTTTCTTATTAGGCAGTCCAATTACAATCTAGTCAATATCATATATTGTTAAGAGCCCTGAAAGCAGAACTATTTCTGGGAAAGTTATTTAACCTCAGTTTCCTTATCTCAGAAAGTGCTTTTGAAGATAAAATGAGGTACCATCAACACGTGTAAACTGCTTAACATGATGCCTGGACATAGAAATTTTTTCTATTGCATTATTAGTCCTGAGGCCAGACTTTGGTGAAGTTTTAAAAATTAGACTTGCGTTTTCCCCAGATATTGGTTAGCAATCCACCGACAAATCATCAAGGAGCTAATATTATGCTAGTGGAGACAACTGACAATTAAATATTTAATATAATATTGGGTTTAAAGCAAGGGTTACAAAGTGGTCTGATAAAGCAGTGCAGGGGGATAAATAGTAATGACCTGATGATTTAGACAGGGTGGTCAAGGAATGCTTCCTTCAGAGGATGGCACTGGGACGGAGATCTGAATGCAATGAGGGAAGAAACTCAGTGCCTGTCGCTATCATTAGGTGGATGAGTGTTTATTATGGTGCTTGTTAGCTGTACCCTTTTGCTTCTTAGTCACACTTCTTTATATGGGTAGTGAACTATTTATATACCCATGACTTAGGATGGCAAACAGATTTTACAGGCCAGAAAGGAAGTGCCTGGGCGTCCCATGTCCTTTCAGTATCCTTCAAATATTACACATTTCCCATTACTAACATAGTACTTCTTGAATTGTCAAGTTTTGTAATTGAACTTAGTACTAAAAGTTCTTCAAAGAGACCTAGGCATTTTGGAAGACCCTGTTGGAGGAAAGCAGCTCTGGTATGGAGGAAAGAATATCTTAGAGTTGAGAGAACTGGGTTTGGATTCCGGCTCCCCATTGGCTGGGTGGATTTGCCTGTGTCCCCTAACTTTACTGAGTCTGTCTATCTATAAGATGAAGGTGATAATGTTTAATTATGCTGAAAGACAGTGAGTGGGGGTTGGCTCTCTGCATAAAAGAATTTTTAAGCATATTATACTATACAAAAAGTAGAAATCAGAAATTTCTGTTTATGTGATATTTTATCATGGTAATTATAGTTAACATAGTGCTTACTATGTTCTAAGAACTATTCTAAGCATGTTAATGGATTAATTTATTTCTCACACTGATCATGCAAGGTAAGTACTATTATTGGCCCATCTAACTCATGACAAAAAATGAGGCAGAAAGAGACAGATATCTGCATATGGTCACACAGTAAATGGGAGAATGAGGATTATGAACCAAGAAAATTTGACATTGGAGCTCATGTTCACAAATACTAAACTAATTGTAATTTAAAAGATTATTCATCGTGTTAGAAGCCATCATTTTAGGTCCTTCCTAAAGTAACATCACTGTAGAAAGTGACAATAGCAATTTAAAAAATAGACTGTAAAGTATAACCAAGTTTGAGAGTGAAAAAAGTGAAAAAAAGAGTGAAATGGTTTTTTAAAAAGTGTTAACTCGAGGTTGATTTAGATTATATCTAAAATTAATACCCAACATTAAAATATTAAGAATCATTTACTTTATTATGCAATTTCATATCCTCAGTCTCAAAACCTACCCATTTTAAGACAAATGATTGCTTTGTACTAATCAGAGTCGAAGAAAAGCATCTAATTTAAATAGACTGTCTAAAATTCCAAGGCCTATTTAAAAAAATTTCTAGGCACTGTAGCAGTAATATTTTTGAGGGATTGATCATAGCAGATGTGATTAGTTTGAACCATAGTTAAACAGTGTCCAGTAAAACAATGACTTTGGTTATCTAGAAACTCTAAATAAAATTCCAGTGACAAAATACATGATAAAAATGATGTGATGTTTTTATTATGATGTATTAAATTATTTAAAGTCTTTTTACTATGAGTTAAATCTATGAAGACTAGTAATGTATCAGCTTCAGGAATATACTATGCAGAGAAAAGATCATGACTATTTACAGATGTTAAATGATAACCAATTATTGTAGGCTTTTAAATAATAGTTTCACTTCACCATGATACTATGTTGGGTCATTAGTTATGTATTAATTATATAACTCCAATAAGTATAGAAGTGTTTTAATTCTATATCCCTCTTTAAGTACAAGCACAAATATGTACTTTTTCTGTGGATTAGAAGATAAAGTATAAAATTTCTGCTCTGTGTATGTCAGGTTGGTAAAACAAAGCAACTATATAGATACCTAGATTAAAAACCTAATCACCAAGTTTTTGACATGGCAGAATCTGATGGTAATATTAAGCAAAGACATATGAATGTGCCATAAAACACATGCAACAAAGCTCACACAAAATAGAAATTAGCTGTAAAGAATAGGAGTATATACATATACATTGTAGAAGCACAAGGATGATTGACAAAAGTGAGGTGTGTTTTATCAAGAGAAAAGCTAATAAAATGGAAGCTATCATTAAAAACAAGTTTTAAAAACATCACTGGTTTTCAATCCCACATGGGAACTAAAATCTCTTTAAATTTTAAATCTCTTTTGTTCTGTTAACTAGCAGCACTGGGAAAATAATACATCTATACTATATAGTCAGAGCGGGTAACAGGATACTAATTTTAAACAACAGAAAGTAAGATGGAGATCCACTGTAATTACTTCGGATAGGCTAAAAGTAGATAGTCTCTGTAAATAGAAATCCATATTATCCATTTATTTTTTCAGAATTCTACTTTAAACCTACTAAAGCTAAACTGACTGGTCAGAAGCTTTCATTAATTGTCTCTGACATCCAGGTAAACCAAAGCATATGAACAGGTCGTGGTTTTTGAGTTCTTATTACAGCCTCAATTATGTGTTAGTCAGCTCAAGCACCCATTATGTACTCAATAATAGGTATGACACAGTTAAGAACATCAGCAACACTATAAGCAGGCAGGCACAGGCAACCTGCTTATACTTATTTTTCTGGTGTTAACATTCTTAAAAAGCATGGAAAGTAGAAACTTTATAATGTCTTCCTCATTAAACCTTAAGAGTAGCACTCTACTAGATATCTTTACCTCTATTTATAGCCGTGCAGAGTAACACTGTCTTGAGAAATGACAGCACAGTATCTTACATGGAAAGGAAATGTCGGATGCCATAGTGGGGATGAATTTCTAATTGCCAGTGATTATTGTGAATATAACAATATTTTCCTGAACATTAAAGTCTCTGTGGAGGGTAGCTACAGTTAAAAAGGGGGAGGGGGGAAGCTTGTCTTGAAACTTTAAAATTGCATTGGTGTACATGATAATGTAACAAAGTACACAAAAGAAAAAACTTTTTAATTGTTTAAAAAAAAACATTAAGGGAAGCCGCTGATCCTCAGGAAGACACGAGGTTGCCTACTGAAGCATTTATAGAGTCCGATGCTTCTTCAAAATTGGTTACAATCATTAGCACAGCAAACCCTTGTGAGGTAAGTGTATTATTATCTGTGGTTCATAAATGAAAAAGCTGAGGCACTGACTAAGCCACTTGCCTAACGAGAATGAGTCAACGTCAAGAGTCATAGTTGACCTGGCCTAACGACTCCTGACGGTCAGTCCAGGGCTTAGTCAGCGGGGGCCGGAGTGGCTTCCCTGGCTGGCACCTGGACTTGGGCTGTTTCCGTTCACGTTAAAGCAGAACAGTGGAAGCGAGAGGACACAACTTGCAAATCATTTTTACTTCCACGCAAGATTTAACTCTAAGGTCTTAATTTCAGGAGTTGGAACAGGAAAAGCTGTCGGGTGCACTCCCCCTCCCCCAACCTATGGCAAGTGGGTACTGTGGGCGGTGCCGCCACCCGGTTCGCAGTGATGGCGTTGAGTGACCACCAGTGTTAGCGGAGCCAAGGGACCGGGGAGGGTTGACTGCTCACACAACTATCCTCCATCGCCAACTCTTTGTAAAACTAAGAGAAAATGGTGAGAAGTCAAAAGAAAATTAAATAGGCACACAGGCAACTCGTCCTAGGACCTCAACTAAGCAAATGAAGCCTTATTGAGCGTGCTGAGCCTTCCCAATCTTCCAAGGAACATGGGAGGACAGGGCGACAAAGGGCACAGGAGGCATGCCTGGCAGTAAGTGCGACAGCATCTATCCAAGCGGAAGAGCAGGGCACTGAAAACCACCCTGCAGAACGCAAGTGTCCGCAGCGCCGAGAACCGCGAACCATACCCATCGACCACGTGACCAGTTCTTTTTTTTTTTTTTAACTTCTTTGCCTTAAAGGAAAAAAAAAGGGGGGAGAGACTTCACTTCCCAGAAGCCTCTCGTTAAACACGCAGCCGCAGTCTTGCGCAGGCGCCGCCAGGGCCAAACGGACACGTCCGTCACGTGAGCAGTAGCCGGCCAATCCGGTTTGAATCTCCTTTTTTTCCTCTCACCCCCCCCCCCCTTCAGGAGCGGTTGTGCGATCAGATCGATCTAAGATGGCGACTGTGGAACCGGTGAGTATTGCCTTTGGCCCCCACCCCCACCGGTCCCCGCGCTCCGTCGCCCTTCGGACTGGGGGACCCCGCGGGACGGCGTTCCCGGCGCGCATGCTACCCCTTGCCGCCCCCTCCCCCTCTTCTTGGACCTGACCTCCCCGCGGACAACTGGGGGCGCCCCGGAGGTTGGCCGCTACGGCGTGTGGAGCACACGTTCTGGTGGGGGCCCGAGAGCTCGGGGAGAGAAGTGGGGGAGGGGCGGCGCGGCGCCTCCGGCAGAGCCTTGAGAGAGCCACGCGGATGGAGGGTGTTCGGGGCCCTGGGCTAGGGTGGTGGGAATTGTGTTTTCGGGATAGGAGGGCGCAGGGCCGGCTCCGAGCAGGCGTCGGGATCTGCAGGGACGGTGGGCGGCGAGCCGGCCTGGAATGAGATGGAGGAGGGAGCCCCGGGGCAGCCTTTCCCTCTCTCCTTCCCGAGCCTCTATCCAGCCCAGGGACTCGGGTGCGGCGCGCGTGCCGGGGTTCATTAGACGGGTGGGCCGGGAGACCGGTGGGCGCGCGTTGCCGGAGGGTGGGTTTGGGCGGGAGTGGTGCCGCGGCACGCGGGGAGAAGCTTCGACCTCGCCGAGGGGAGCCGAGAGGGGCGAGCGCATGTTACTCCAGCGCGTCGGAGAGTTGCCGGGGTTGGCGGCAGGGGAGGCGAGAAAGGTTTGGGGTGGGGAGGAGAACCCCGTGCCGCGCGGTAAACCTATGAGAGGAGGATGAAAGGAGGGGGGTGGTGGTGGTTAGAAGGGGGACCACATTGTCCTCGCCCCTCCGTGCTCGAGACCGGGCTGTCATGGAGGAGGGAAGGGGGAGGAGCGAGGCCTACGGAGAGCTGCTGCCGGTCTGGTTGCCGGCGGGACCTGCTGCATTTCACACGCGCCTGTCTTCCATTCATTCATCCTTTCCGCGCTGTGCGCACGCCTCAGAGAATGCGACTGGGTCTAGATCCTTCTGTTCTTCCGAGTCTTTATCGTCTGGAAGATTTCACAGACGCAGTTTATTGGAAATAGAAACTTGATTTTTCAAGTTAATTTTCCATTTGATTCTCTCTTTATCCTTTCTACTGGCTTCCCTCCCAATTTAGGTACCATCTTAAACATCTTTGAAGCAAGTTGATCCCAGAGTACAAGTTGATTGTTACCGCGCAAAGGAGAGTATCTTTGACATAGTTTGGTTTTGCCGGCACTGGCTCACTGAAACTTCTAGGCCTATGTTGCCGTTTTAGGAATGTCGCATCTAAGTGATAATTTAGAGGCGTAATACATTCGCTAGAAAACCTTGATACTCTGGAACCAATTCCAGACCTTCGCTGCCAGATGTTTTCGTGTATCTTGAATGGTAGTTTGTGATTTTGATAATGGCTTCCCAGTTTGCTTTGACTCTTTTTAAAGATTTCTATAACTACTTTGAAAACTAGGTATGGAAACGTCTGTAGAATACAAAAATACTTACTTTTCATTACATTGATGTAAACTATCCTTAGCTTCCTGCCGGAGTTTAAGGCAGAAAGCTTGGTTATTTCTTCTTTTATTGGTACCAGTATGTGTTTATTTTCCTGGAAATTAGATTGACTACAGAACTCTCTTTTAAGTTGCTGATACAATTAACTGATTTTTAGAACATTAATGTTAAATAGCTAAACAATAAATATGTAAAACCTTTAACTTAAAACTCTTTAATGGGCTATGATACTACTTAAAACTGATCAACTCTCTTGCCCTCTGTACTAGCATCAGTTAAAAGTACTATAGCTGGTCATAGGGGCAAGGCTAAACCCTCTAAACAAAACAATAATGTATTCTCTGAAGTTTCAGTAACATTTAGGTCCTTTGGGTTTTGCAAAGCTATGCTGTTTTGTTTCAACAGCAGGGAACAAAACTACAAAGTGTTGAAGGAGTGTATTTAGTCAGTAAATATTTATAGCTCCTGATATTTTTAGGAGCTTGTACCAGGTGTTCTTGAGGATACAAATTATACAAAATGGGATTCTATACCTTGTTCAGTGTAAACTTTTAGAAGCTTAATTTCTAATGATCCTGGTCAGTGATTAAAGTATGGTATTCCTTCTAGTTGTTGACCCTTGGGAGATTTGAATACTGCATTTAAATTTGGGGAGTAAGGAACCTAAAAATCTGGTTTGTGAAAGTCGAAAGCCAGATTGAGACTATAGTAGTTTGAGGATGCCTGTTTAAAGGGTTCATTTTTAGTGTAAAAATGTGATTTAAAAAAATTTTTTTTTTAGTATTTTTAATGTACCCTTGTCTGCAGATTAGTCATTTAAAATTCTTTTCGGCAATTTAAAATAGTGCCTTTTTTTTTTTAAGCCACTGATTAGTATTTATTGCAATTGAAGTATCCCTGTAAAAGCCTACAAAAAAGTGTATTTATTCATTGTTATTTCAGTTAGCTGTGAGTTTCTTTATTCCTTTTTTGCTGGGCATAATCATAAGCACCTAAAGAGTCATAGGTTTTTCCTGCTTGTCCCACCTTGGTAGGCACTGGAGGAATTTTTGTCTCTGAAAGTTACGTAAAATATCAGTCATTTTCAGTTTGATATTATGTGATTATCGAGCGTGTGTGTGTGTGTGTGTGTGTGTGTGTGTGTGTGTGATCAGTTAAATTAAGATGTATTTACACAGAATCTAAAAAAATGATTAAAATGAACTTACTTTCAAAACAGGAATAGACTCGTGGACACAGAAAACAAATTTATGGTTACCAAAGGGGAAAGGGAGGAGAAGGGATAAGTTAGGAGTTTGGGATTAACAGAAACACCAGGATGTATAAAAGAGAGCACAGGGGCCTGCTTTATAACACAGGGAACTATATTTGGTACTTTGTAATAACTATAATGAAAAAGAAGGTAAATATGTATGTGTCTGTGTGTGTGTATATTTAAAACTTTGCCAGCATACCTCAAATTAGCACAACTTTGTAAATCAACTATACTTCAACAACAAAAAAAAAAAACCCACGACAGAACACATGGACACACAGAAGGATACTGGGTGATACTAAATTTGTTAAGAAGGTTGATAGGCAAATTGAAGGAACTATTTATCTCTTAACAGGTACTGTTGGAAATTTTGAACAATACTCTCCTGTTACACTGTTGGCATTTGAGTTGTGGCCAGGGCAGAATTAGAGCTTGTGAGTAGATCAAAGTTAGACTTAATATCAGCTGATAAAAATGGCAGACCATCTTGCCTCCAGTGGGTCATTACTTTGGTAGCTTTTATCTTCTTTCTGTTTTCTTCATTATTGGGTTGTTTTTTGACTTGTAATTCTTTCAAAGATAAGAGATTTTTATTTCCTTAGTTAAACTGAAGGTATATAGTTTTACTTGCTTTAACATTGTATCTTTTGAATTTTTTTAAACTATACCTTAGTTTCATAGGTGGAATCCACTTGGACAGTCAGCTAATATAATGTTTCCTTTTTTATCCCTTAGAAACATGTTTTGCAGAGAGTTTATAAAAAGTAAATCTTAAATTCATGTGACAAATATGTTACATAATGCCATGTTTTTTGCTAAACAAAGACTGTTGACAAGCAGACCTTGCATATTAATATGCGTGTTTTTGCTTTAAGAAAACGTAGTGTTACGAGAGTCCATTCATCAGCCAAAGAAATTTGGTTCTAGTGTTTACATTTTACATTTTACTTTGTTTTTCACTCTGAATTCATATTATGCCTAATTATTTGACTTAGAGAAGTCCAGCTTAGAAACAGACATAGTCTGCACTCCAAAGTTGCAGAGAATAAAATGTTTAATGAACTATGTAACCATAATCCAGTTTGGATAGAAAATTATATACAAAAAAATTTTTTGTTAAGTATTCTATTTAATTTATATAAGATTAAGAATATAGAAGTATCTGCAGTCCTGGATGTAACAAGGAACCAGTGAAGTAGTTGTTATAGCAATGGTAATTTTTTCCTTTCCTTCTCTGCTTCTATTAGAAATTTTCTTGCTGTTTTGGAGTTGCTCCTTCTTTGTCATAGAGAATTTTTTGAGAAGTGGAAATGAGCCTGAATTACAATCTAATTTTAGTATCTGTGTTGAAACCTTGAAATTTCTAAAGCTAGCTGGAAAATGGGAATAAGTACAGTGATTTTGATTTTCAAATACAATATTTAGAGATGACAATTTGTCAGTTACAAAGAACTAGATAAAGTTAACATTCCATTGATGTACTGCATGCAGGTGTATTCATGCATGGATATCCTTACCTTTTTTCCTCTCTTTGCTAGGAGATTCACATAGCTGAATTTATTTTTTATCTTTTCTTTGCCATTATTCAGAAATACAAAGCTTATGACCCGTAACTGATTGATACTCTTCCCACTCTTTACAGTAAAAATCAGTAGTGTTTTAAAAGTTCCTATATGTGTCTATAGAGAAAAAAGATGACTTTTATCTCTTAAGTACTATGTAGTCATTTCTAGTCTCCTGCTTCTAGAACCTGAGAATGTGATCAGAAAAATAAGATTTTTCCCCCAGTTGGAACTTTTGATACATCTTTCATAGGAACAATGGGGAGCTGTAGTTTTTGCTCACTGTGTTCACTGAGAGTCTGTGGAACTATAACAAATCTAACCAGCTTTGCATTTCTAGGGCTACAGATTTAAAGTTCTAAGCAACTGACTTAATAGAAATGTTCTTTTAAATAATAGTCTGTAATAGTGAATTTTAACTTAAGTAATCTTTATAGCTTAATAATAGTTAACACAACACTTACTGTACGTCAGGCATCTTACTAAGTGCTTTACATGTATTCATTTAATTTTTAGCAGTCTTATGAGGTAGGTATTATTCTTATTTCACAGATAAGGAAACCAAGGCACAGAGAAATGAAGTAACTTTGTGTGACTAACTTGCCCAAGATCGCACAGCTAATAAGTGGTGGGGTGGAGTTCAAACTAAAGCAGCCAAGTTCCAGAGTGTGTTAAACATGACACTGTCTTTCCAAG